CCAGTGAACAAATGAAACAACAAAACAGTGAATACTCCTTAACAGTTGAAGATAGTTCTACACCAACTTGATTTTAAAAAAAAGATATTAGAGAAAACATTGGATTGAAAGAAAAAACGTAGATCATAATAGCCAGCAAACATAGACCAATAAAGCACATTCAAAACAGACTCGAACAAATAACAAGTAAGACTTTTCAAATTTAAGATGCTTCATACGGATGGTCCTAAAAGTAAATGAATGACGATTAAATGACCAAAGATTCATTGAAAACTAGTAGAATGAAAGCATATATTATCAGTTAAGAATCAGCCTATTTATAGCCATGCTCATAAGGAAAACAAACCCAAAACAAAATCTATAATAAGTAGACAATACCACATGCTGCAACATTTAAAACGCAATGAAGCATAATAAACTATCAGTAGCAAAGTGACAATCATAAAACAAAAACCGACAGACCCATTAACCCATCAAAAATGTTTTAAAGATGCTCGTAGAAGAAGAACAATGTTGGCTAAGCCAAAATTTACACTTATGAGATGCACAGAACTTAAATATGACAATAAACTAGCGACATCGATGACATCCTAATCATTCAAATAGGTAGAGAGGAATATAGCTTACAGAAACAACGATTAAATAAGAAAATCAACAGGAAATCACGATTCCTAGTCAGATATTTTTAGGCTTAAAACACACACCGACTAGAACCCAAACGACTCTTTATCAGCCATCAACAACCAAATCAGGAAGCAACAAAGACATTTAAGAGAGGAAGGAGAAAGAGTTGACAAAAAACTTCAACTCACAAACAAAATATCCATTGAAAAGAGCTAAGATTAAAAAGGAAATTACCTATTGGAGAGCAGCAAGTTGTGACAAACGAGCTAGAAAGAGCAGCGACTTCTCACACAACTTCAAAATTCGACCATTAAACCAGAATATTCAAACCGACTTCGAACAAGGACCTTCTCGAAAGTAAGAATTAGCAAATCGCCTGAAATCTCTGAAGTATAAAATTGATTGTTCAAAGGAAAAAAATTTCAATCCCTTTCACTGAAGAAGAGTAGACTTATATAGACGAGAATTAGGGTTCATTTTTTGGGGGAAATGGGTGAAAAACGAATAGGAATGAGGCCCACCCAAATTCAAACTTCAAAACTCTTTCACCATTTTAGGGAAGACACCCTTTTCTGAAATTTTCGCCCCATTCCGAAAGAGAAAAAGGAAGAAGGATGCTCCGGATCGATTCCATTGTCCTGGATGAGCAACGTGGAGCGATCTCACGCTAGGACGACGATTCTGCGTGCCTTCATTGCTGCTGCGAAAATACTGTTGAAAGGGACGGGAAGAAGAAGACAAGAAAAATCGCAGCACTGCTCACTGTGTTAACACCATTACTGTTTTCCGTCTATACCATGAGATGGTCATTTGTGAGAATGTGGACGTTGGAGCTGGACTTGTCATCATTTGAAGCTGTTGTCGATGTCGTTTCACTGAGCATGAAGACGCTGTGAATTTGCTTCCATGTTGTTAACGTTGGAAGCTGGATGTTATATGTTGTTTGTCGCGTTGTTCCTCTGTTTTCACATTGTTTCTGGGTCTCTTTTGGAATGAGGAGATGGGGCGGGATCGGGTCGGTTTAAAGGAAAATGGGTCGACTGAGTTAATAGAAACTTGGATTGGTTTGGGTTGGGAATATGGAGCTATTGGGCCTGGGATTGGAAGGATTGGTATGCTGAAAATTTAAAAAAGAAGGATCACTAAAATAGCAATTAAGAGAATGATCGCGTGAATTTCAATAGTAGCCAATCGAAATTAAAAATCTAGCCAAATAAGTTTAGTTGGTGATTAGGCTAAAATAAATAAAAGATGAGTTAGTAGACATTAATTAATGAGCTTCTTTATCCCAACGATATAAAATAATCAACTTGATTACAAAGTAATTGATTTAAAATACGAACTAATATTCGAAATGGCAATTATGATTTAAACTAAAATAGAGTACTTATCTCAAAAATGTAAAATCTTGAGGTGGTTTTTGTTTATAAAATATATAAAATATACGTATATTTATTATTTGAAATATTTAAAATATTATGAAAAGTAACTAAAATTCTTAAAAATAACTTGAAAAAATATTTGAACCTCGTAAAGCTAATTATTTCAAATTATTTAAAATTAAAGAAGCTTAAACTTTAATTCATATCGGGGAGGGTCAAAATTGGGTGTCAACAACTGTCCCTCGTTTGACTTGGATTGATGAAATAAATTCAATTTTGATCGACCACATCCTCATCCTTTAGAAAAGGGTTTTTGGTACGAACTTTAGGAATTATGGCTGAACCCCAAAAATGGATTTCCTACATATCTCAGGCTATATGAGAATCCAAGTCACTTGTAGTTCGATACGCTTGATTTAACGCACGATTATGAAAGAATTCAAAAGCCATCCCGATACCAAATTACGAAGGGACCGGAATGCTCGTGAATAAGATTTAAGAGGGAATGTTGGAATACAGCCGAGTTCTAACATCAATTCTGCCTACATATCCCTCAATTCAAGGAATCAGACTGCTTGTAGTTTGACTCGATCGGTTGAAAAAGAAATCTATTTTGCAAGATAACCTTTTAGTTCTGAAAAAACGACAAAGTAAGTCGAGTATGAAAAGGAGGCTTGCACCCTCTCAACCATGAATGTGGCATGCTTCACACCCATAATTAAGAACTTGCACGGACATAATTTCTAAAGCTCTTGGCACATTGTCACTTGGATTGGAAAGCTGCTTCCGGTGAAGACCAAAACTTCCGGATGCAAAACTGAAACCGATAAACCTAAAGAAAAACCCACATGCCTTTTGATAGGGGTGTGGTTTGATTGTGGTGGAAGTCGCCCCTCAGCTCGCATCCTAAGAGTTTGGCACTCCTCTTTGGACCATGTCCCAATTCGCTGCTAAGAAAAAGTTCTACGTTGTGCTGCATCTTTTTTTATGTCGTCCGCACCGGTGGCTTGTTTTGGAGAATTCATCTTTTCGGATGCTCTCGCCAAAGATTGAGATAAAACTCATTAACATAAAAAATGTAGTTCAAATGGGAGACAATGTGTTTTACCGTGTTGATACTTAATTGCACTCCTTAAACATTTGACATCAACTCCATCGGATTTGACGTAAAGCAAATAAAGTTTGTGTCTCATATTTGCAATATAATCTTCAATGTAATCTTCCTTTGACGTCAAAGCAATAAAATAAGCTGATGTAATATGTTGACGGTTCTCTTGATGTCGTTGTTGATGGTTCTCTTGATGTCGTTTTTGCAAAGAAAAATGATGCAGTTGATGTTGATCTTCTTGTGATGGGTAAATCTTTCTCTTGCGATGCATAACTTTTCTCTTGCTATGCCTAAATCTCTTTCCCGCAATGCATGACTTCTTTCCCGCGATACATGAGTCTCTTTTGCGCGATGCATGAATCTCTTTCCCGTGATGCATGACCTTCTTTTCTTGCGATGCATGACTCTTTTCTCTTGAGATGCATGGCTTCTTCTTCCTCTTGCGATGCATGACTCTTTCTCTTACTATGCATGACTCATTCCTCTTGCAATGCATGGCTTTTTCTCTTGCTATGCATGACTCTTTTCTTTGTGATGCATGACTCTTTTCTCTTTGATGCCTCCCTGGTACCGAACGAAGATAATGCTTCACCAAGAAACATAGGTGATCTTCGGGGTATCTTCTGGGTGGTGGTATCATCTCAATCGACAATACAGATAAAAATTAACCTCAGAGTAGTGGTATCGTCTCATTCGATGATACGATATAAATAACTTTTTGGGTAGTAATATTATCATATCTGATAATATAATGTAGATAACGTCCTCCAGGTATCTTTAGTTGATGAAAAACAACAAAATTTCTCTTTCCGAGGTTTTCATTTATTCCGTCTCTGAACATAATTGCATGTTCATTATGGACTTTGCCTTGTTGGAAATTGATTGAAATAAGGTTATTCATGCTCCCAAATCTTTGATATAAGAAACATAAAATATTTCCTGCATTCACAGAAAAATTGTCAATTTTGGGGTAGCCCCTCACCCTTTTGACTTCTCCATATTTATTGAATGGAGCAATACGCTAATCTTGAGGCAAGCTTATAGACCTGCATCCACAGAAAAATTGTTAGTTTAAAAATGAACTGATTTGTGTCGATTTCTTCAATTGTCTGCTCCTTGTTTTATTGTCACCAGTTGATTTCTCCGATCTCCCCTATCTTGATAGATAGGATAAAGCATTTTTACGCAAAATATTTGAAACACGAAAGAGAGGCTTTAAGGAAAATAGATTTTCAAAAATTAAATTTAGAAAAGGTCATTGTCAAGTGTCATGTCACTTCACACTTACCGATCGCTTTTGGGGTTGATGCCTCGAGATCTATCTGATTACTTGCTGGGGAAGTAATCAAAGTTGTTCCAAACTCCCGATGAACCTTATTGAAATTTTTTAGGTCAGTTAACTGTCTTGGCGCATACTGAACTGTTGATGAACAAACCATGAAATTTTTGAGATCCTCTAAAAAATTATATCCCAGTTGTAATTCTCAACGTAACTTCAGTCTTGACTTTGTTGGAGAGATCTTCTTCTTGAGAATTTTTGAGTTCCTCTAAAAAAATTTGTCCTAGTTTCTATTGTAAAGAAAATAGAAATCTTTCGGGAGATATGACTGAGCCGTTGTGGCTCCTATGTATCCCGTTGAGACATGAATTAGGTCAAACGTAGTTCTCCCTCTCGAGGATTAACAAAAATAAAAAAAATTACAAAGAAACCGACCGAGGCCGACATAGGCCACCTACGTATCTCATTCTTGAGAATTCAGGTCGAACGTAGTTCAAATACGAGGAAAAATATGAAAAAGGGGTGATCGAGGTCGACATAAGCTGCCTACGTACCTCATTCTTGAGAATTCAGGTCAGACATAGTTCATTACAAGAGGGATAAAATTTTAAACAAAGCGATTACAGGCAAATGGAATGATTACAAGGAAATAACAGGTATACAAACTGAAACTGCACACATAGTATCTCTTGACAGCATCTGAGTTGATCGGTTTCAGCCATTCGGTGCCATCCATATCCGACAGGACCAAGGCACCTCCAGATAACACTTTGCGAACCATGTAGGATCCTTTCCAATTTGGTGCAGATTTCCCTTTGTACTCATCTTGATGAGGGAAAATGCGTTTGAGAACCAACTGATCAATTTCAAATATTCTAGCTCTTACTTTCTTATGGAAAGCACAAATCATTCTCTATCGATACTGTTGACCATGACAAACCGCAACAATTCTCTTCTCATCAATCAATGTTAACTGATCAATCCGCTTGCAAACCCAATTAGTATCACTTAATTCAGCTTCTTGGATGATTCTCAATGAAGGTATCTCAACTTCGGCAGGTATAACTGCTTTTGTTCCATATACTAACAAGTATAGAGTAGCTCAAATCGACGTTCTGACAGTCGTTCCGTATCCCAATAAAGCATATGGCAACATCTCGTGCCAACCTCTATGATTATCAATCATTTTCCTAAGAATCTTCTTTATGTTTTTGTTAGCGGCTTCTACAGGTCCATTCATTTGGGGGCGATAGGCAGTCGAATTTCGGTGAGTAATTTTGAATTGTTCGCATATTTCTCTCATCAAATGACTGTTGAGATTCACACCATTATCAGTAATGATGGATTTTGGAACGCCAAACCTACATATCAAATTGCTGCGAACGAAATCAACTATAACTTTCTTGGTTACTGACTTGTACGAAGCTGCTTCCACCCACTTGGTAAAGTAGACAATGGCAACCAAAATGAATCTGTGTCCGTTAGAGGCGGCTGATTCTATTAGACCAATGACATCTATGCCCCAAGCTACAAACGGCCAAGGTGAACTCATAGCATTGAGTTCGTGAGGCGGGACTCGAATCAAATCACCATGCACTTGACATTTATGACATTTCTGCACAAACTTGCAACAATCATGCTCCACAGACATCCAAAAATAACCGGCCCGGAGGATCTTCCTAGCCAAAGTGAGCCTATTATTATAAGTACCGCAGACTCCAGCATGTATCTGTTCAAGAAGCTTTGCAGCTTCACTAGCATCAATGCATCTGAGAAGACCTAAATCTGGAGTCCCCCTATAAAGGATTGCTCAATAAAAAGCATTATTTCAATTTTTATGGCTTTTCTAAAGATATGTGGCTATCTCTTCCTTACCTTTATTTTGACGGAGAAGCCCTCGCTTGATTTAATTGATTGTATCGCAATAAGCAATTGTATGACTGGAAACATTTCACTGATAAATTGTCTTGCCATTACCGCAGACAAATTGTTAAGAAACTTGGATTGCCGCCAGTTGCTGATCTATTGCTACAAATAGATGCATATTTCTTTCGTATGAGTCGTCATCTGGATAACATTCAGAATACTCTATCGGCTTGCTACCAAAAGTTCTCTAACGCTCAAGCACGTCCAGATTTTACATCATCTTTGGCTGATAAGTGTGTCATAGAGGAGGTCGTCCAACAGAAAATTGGTTATGCTTTGAACGAGGACAACTTAAGCACTCCAGAGAATTCTGAGGTTTCTCATCCGATGTTAGAACTTCATGTGGCCAATTCGAAGGTACTTCCTGAGCTATTTATTCAAGGAGTAGTTCTTCAACCTCTATTCCTTTTCCTTCCATGGCGATTTTATTTGGTTGCATTGAGACTTTGGATCCCATGTTGGACTCCAAATATGACTTAAAGTACGACCCCAGTAGCTATGCCTGCAAGGTGTTCGTTGAAATGCCCGATAAGAAAATTGACATGGAAGTCAAACATCCAGTGATAAATGATTCAGCAAATCTGGCATCCCATATGTTTGATGAAAATTTTCAAACGGTTTCTGTATTTAAGGGAGAGTACGGAGACCTTATCATGTTTGATAATAATTGTCTTGCACTACCTTGTTTGCCTTCGGTTTTTAGTCGCACCCAACTTATGAGAAGATCTATATTTGATTACTTCAGCGAATTCGGTCATGCTAACCTCCCATTATCGTTGTATCGATTTCCAGCTAATCAATTCGGGTTCAGCTTTCCGTTTGATCCTGGTTCTAGTTTGCTCCTCGTATTTTTTGGCGCCGCAAACTATTATTCACACATGGTTGTGGATGATTTTAATGAGCTTATTAGGATATCCACATGTCATATTAACTCCACTTCCAATGCTCACTGTATTTTGCCTCAATTCCCATTTGATTCTGGTGCGAATCTATTCATTATATCCCCTGGTGGGTGCTTACAAGTTTTTACATTGCAACCTGAGGCATCTAGTTGGGATCTAGCAATATGTTCCATGTCCATGGCTCTAATAGAGTTGACAACAAAGGCGAGTATATTCCCTTGGAGAAAGACACTCTTTGTTTTGCTCGTTGCAATGTCAAGGTATTATGATGACGATCCTTGGACACCATTTGATAGTGCAGATACATTGCAGATACAAAACGTTATATCACTAAGGTTTTGCCCAATGCGCGAGGCAAATGCAATTTCTTCCTGTTTTTTAGTCTCTAGAGTGATCATGTTAGAAGCGGAACTTGATAATTATGGACAACTCTGTTTCAGTTTGCTGCTCTTGATTGTGGTAAAAATAAGTGTTTCAACAGCAACTCGACTTCAAAGTGCTTTCAACGTGTTCGCCTGAGATGGTTGAATATATTCAATTTGAATTGCTTAGTGATTATTGGATTAAATATTTTAGAAATCCAATCAGTGACGTCTTTGATGATGCACTAGTCGTTGCTCTATATCATAATATTCTAGATGTTGCTGGCCAAATTCACAGAGAAGGAAGTGCACAAATCCTTCATGGGATGAACATCCTGGACTGCATTTGGAATCTGTCCAAATTTGTGGTTTCAAATAATGACACTAAGAATGTGGATACACCATTGGTGTCTCAAAATAAGGAGGCCAATTCAAGAAATTGTGTAGCTTGGGTCATTGACATGTCTATTCATAGTGATACAACTAGATTTATGATTCCTTTAGCTAACAAGGAATACATGGTAACAAAGGGCTATATTGCACCAAACGGGCATACAAAGTTGCTAGTGAGTGTTATATCACATATCTACAATGTTGAGATTATGTTCTTTGAGTCACTTTATCTCCTAAATGCTGAAGGTTGGAGTCTACCTGTGATAATTTGGAGCATTGTACTTCTCATTGGTAAAGTTGTAAGAGAACTACCTACACCTGCTTCTAACTTGCTGATGTTAGTATGCATAGCTTCCTTAACAGCTCCAATGAGAATCCTCACAATGATATCAATTTTGTACTACTTGAACGTTGAGGACAAGGTTCTTATTGGGGCCGAAGGTATTGTTATGAATGGGCCTAGACCAGTATTGACAAAGCAACCCAAAATCGGATTAAGTGGCTATGTGTGGGATCCGGGTTGATAAATAGAGACTTGAGAGAGCAAAATAGGTTTATGCAAATTGTTGAAAAAAAATGTCTAGTCATCTCATCTCCTTTCTATGAGTTCTACTTCTCATCCCTTTCTTCTAAGTGTGTTCTTCAATTCCCTTTTAGTTCTTAAATTCCTTTGTAATTTCAATTACAATTTAGTGAAATAGACTTGTAGGTTGTTTGAATTTGAATTGTGTGGTCTTGTTATTGGGTTTGTTACAACCCCCATTGTCTGCAGAAGTCTTTGTATCATTAAGGAACCTATCTATTGTATCAAAACTGCTGGAGGAATCATAAGCATACGGTTTGCCAGTTGGGGAATAAGCAACAATAGCAACATGTGCTCCCGTTGTAATAGAAAGTTTGTATGCTTCCTTGACTGCACTTGCCCATAGCTTTTTGAAAGCTATAATGTGTTTCACTTTAGATGTTATCATCTTCAATTCAATCTTTTGTCGGCGTATAATCTTAGTTTGTGTCATTACAACAGTTTTTGGGGAAAGAATATGGTTTGATAGAATAGGCTTGAGAAACTTTGGGAAGAAAGTTGCACAATTTATAGGTGATGATATTTTTCTTTTATTTCGTGATTAAGTCAAGTATATAAATGAATTGCTTATTATGTATTTTCTTTGAGATTTACAATTCTTAAAATACATTTTGACTCCAATTTTGACGGTACATGAGTTACATTTTTTTCATTCAAGTATTTAAAGAGATTTACAATCCTTAAAATACATTTTGACTCTAATTTTGACGGTACATGAGTTAAATTTTTTCCATTCAAGCGTTTCAAGAGATTTACAATCCTTAAAGTACATTTTGACGGTACATGAGTTGCATTTTTTCCATTCAACTGTTTGATCAAGAGATTCACAATCCTTAAAATATATTTTGACTCCACTTTTATCGGTACACGAGTTATATTTTTTCCGTTAAAGTGTTTTACGAGATTTACAATCCTTAAAAATATATTTTGACTCCAATTTTGACGGTACATGGGTTACATTATTTCCATTCAAGTGTTTCAAGAGATTTACAATCCTTAAAATACATTTTGACTCCACTTTTGTCGGTACATGAGTTGCATTTTTTCCATTAAAGTGTTTTAAGAGATTTACAATCCTTAAAACACATTTTGACTCCAGTTTTGACGGTACATGAGTTAAATTTTTTCCATTCAAGTGTTTCAAGAGATTTAAAATCTTTAGAATACATTTTGACTCCAATTTTAACGGTACATGGGTTACATTTTTTCCATTCAAGTGTTTCAAGAGATTTACAATCCTTAAAATATAATTTGACTCCAATTTTGACGGTACATGAATTGCATTTTTTTCATTAAAATGTTTTAAGAGATTTACAATCCTTAAAATACATTTTTGACTCTAATTTTGACGGTACCCGGGTCACATTTTTTCCATTCAACTGACATCTTCTATTTTTTTCCAAAGATTACTCCAGTTTAAAAATTGGCTATTTTTAGTTAATTTTTTAAAACTTTTTTAGATTTATAAAATAAGTAATTCATAATTTTTTCCCATTTTTTGCATTATTTATACTATTTTAATTTATTTTTATCATAATTTTGTGTGTCCTCTATGTCAACACTAGTTACAATAGCACGTGCAAGTACGGGCCCAGTATTACTTTATTTGTTTCAATGTATGTGATACATGTGAAATTAAGAGAGTTAATTAGATGATTTTTAAATATTTTAAGTTGTTAATTATTATAATTTATATCATTTTAACATATATTTTTTAAAGAAAATAGATGCTACTACAATTATCCCATTTTATCTGGTACATATCAAGTTTTGAGAGTTAACCAATTTTTTAATATGTTTTGAACTAATTTAAGTTGTTAAATTTTAAAATATTTAATTTTTTTAATTATTATGATTTATAGTACCTTTAACGTAATTTTCAAATAATATATGTTACTGCTTCTGTTTTAATTTATGAGGCACATGTGAAATTTTGAGAATCAACCAAATTTCTTTATATATATATATATATATATATATTGAGTTGTTAATTATTGTAATTTATAGTAATTTTAACGTAATTTTCAAATAATATTATTAGTACTATCTTTGTCCCAATTTATGGGTACATGTGAAAATTTTGAAGTCAAACAAATTTTTAATATCGTAAGTTATTAATTATTTGGACAAGTGAAAATTTGAAAATCGATTAAAATTTAATGTATTTTTTTAAAAAAAATTCATAATGTTAACTATTAGTATAATTATAATATAATTTTTTTTTAATTTGTAGATACATAACAATTAACCTGCAAAGATTTGTAGGAAAAGCAAAAATATACATGTTTTTAATGAATAGGCCCACAAACTTAAATAAAGTAGTACTAGTAGATAATGAAACAAAATTAAATAAAGTATAATACATAATAAAGGTCAAATTTCAAAAACAGCCTCTTGAACCCACGTGGCCATCCACGAGAAAATAAAAAAATAAAAAGATGCAGCTTAACACCATCAGGAGAAATTTAGTAAATTATCATAACAAATAAAGAAAGAAAAGCAGGAAAGAGGACTAACATTTATCCTAGAAGATGGGGCATTTTGTTATGCTTCGCCCAAGAAAGACATCCTTTGGGTCACTCGGGCCCCATTTTTTTTAACTCTAAGATTATGATGTCTTCGTGTATATATACACTACAAGAAATGTCATTTTGTGACAACTCTTTGAGGCGACATATAAAGCTGCCACAAATTTAAGGTTTTTTTGCAATTTCAAAAACTAGTGGTTTTAGTGGCGAGCCACAAAAAATAGTATATTTGGTGGCGATTCAACTCATGTCGTCACAAATAGGTACTACTTTTTTTCGC